GCCCCCGGCCCCGCCAGACGCCGGTGGGAATAATCGCTTCCGCCGGCCGGGGGCTGCGGGGAGGGAGGCGCGAACTTGGGCCCGGGCCCGCCCGCCCCCGGCCCCGCCAGCGCAATCAACATCCCCGGAAGACGCTTCGCCGGGGGGCTCGGAGGCCGAGCGCGAGTGCGGGGCGCCGAGCGGCTGGACCTCCGGGTCAGAGCCCCGCCCCCGGGCCAGATCGCCCCGCGGCGCAGCGGAGGGCCCGGCCCGGCCGGTCCCACGTGACCCGGACCTTGGGCCTCGCCCCCGTCCCGCCTGTACATCAAAGGCATTGATTTACCACCCCTGCTATGTGCTAGACCCTGTACCAGGTTGGCCAGACAGCCCAGCCCGTCTTCTGCGGGCCTCCCTCCCGTATCCTGAATCCGAGGGGAGGAGGGGGAGACAAAGGGGGGTGCGCCGAGGGGCCAACACACCCCTCCTGGCTAGAGGGGGTGTCTGCCTGGCATGCCCGCATGGGCCCGCCAGTAAGGGTGCCCTGGGCAGGGCAGGGCTGACGGTGTGCCCACCTGTAGCAGACGCGAATCGGGCTTCCTAGCGATCCCCAGCGAGGCTGGGCACGATCTTTCCGAAGGCAGGAGGCGAAGGCCACTCCGGGGCGTTTCCACTCACCCTGAAGTCCTGTTCTTCCCTCTGCCCTTGGGGCTCCCTTAAGGCTCCCACTTTATGCGGCTTTGTGCTGTGGCTATGGCTTGTATATCTGCTCCCCTAACTGGAAGATAAAGGCTCTGGGAACAGGAACCCCTTTCCCTCCTTGTACACCTACTCCGCATGAGGCGCCATGCTAGACCCTCAAGGCATGTCTGTTGGATCGGATGCCACCGACTTCACGTTATAGAATGAGAAGCCTGTGGTCCTTCACTGTGCAAGTCCTCGGGAAAGAAACACGGGGAGCCCAGGTCTCTGGCTCCTAGCACTTGCTCCCAGAGCCACTCACTGTCGCTGACTCAAAGGGGGCGCTTTATTGGGAGAGTCTTTCAGGACGCAATCCCTGTCGCTGTCCATTTTGGAAGACTAACAGACAATCTCAGGAGACCTTGGATATTTTCAACCTGGGTTGACATCCCAGGGGGCAGAGCAGAAAGTAGTGTTGGAGCCTCTGCAAAGAGATCTGGGCTTGGTCCTCTCCTGGTTGGGTGAGAGGATAGGGGTGTCAGGGACTGAGTCCCAGGCCCCCTCCAAAGCCACCAAAGCTCTTCTAGACACCTGATTATACCCACCTCCTGCTCTTCCATCTTCCTTCCAATGCTTCTTTCTTCTTCTTCCCTTCCTCTTTCATTCCTTTGCGTAGTCATTTGGGTTTTCTTTTTTTTTTAATTGGAATTAGAGTCTCACTCTGTTGCCCAGACTGGAGTGCAGTGGCCACTCCCGGCCACCGCAGCCTCGACCTGCTGGGCTCCGGCGATCCTTCCGCCTCAGCCTTCTGAGTAGCTGGAACTACAGGCGTGCGCTACCACACCCAGTTAATTTTTGATTTATTGTAGAGATGAGGTCTCGTCAAGTTGCCCAGGCAGGTCTCAAACCCACGGGCTCAGGGAATCCACTCACCTCAGCCTCCCAAAGGCGCAGGATTACAGGCCGAGCCACCAAGCCCGGCCATTTGGGTTTTCAAGCTGGGGAAGCACAGGGTGGGAGATCAGACTCTTTTCCCTTGCTCATTTATGAAGTGTCACTGCGCTGGGCCATGCTTTACGTGTGTCATTGCTATCCCAGTTATGCAGATCAGGAAATATGCCACCATCCAGACAGAGGCCCCCATAACTCTAAAGCTAGTGTGCCAAGCTGACCTTGAAACATGACTCTCGTGGGCACGCTGAGTTCCCCTGCCACCCTCAGGAGGAGGGTGAAGCCTGGCCCCTCTCCAGTCTTGGGGGCTGTTGTCTTTCAGGCACATGGGGCTCTTTAGTTTCCTGTCTCAGGCTGTGGTGACCGGGACAAGGAGGCCAACCCCAGGAGGACACCCCCAGCCAAAGCTATCAGCCAGAGATGGCCTAAGCAACCCAGAAGCTCAGCCTAGGGGTCAGGGGTCATAGGAATTCTCCAGTCCGTGGTGTGGAAATCCCCCCAGGTCCTCTACCCAAGCCTTATTCTGTATGCTTACCCGTGAGGTGGCCCCGAACCTGCCTATTTCGTAGGGCGGTTTCGCAGGGCAACGGATTCATGGAGACAAAAGAAGTATCTGCTCTTCACAGACACTGGTGGTGGTTTTATAAAGCAAACTTAAATATTTAAAGGAGTCTTTTCTCTGTCTTTGAAACTCATGAGCCGGGCTCGGTGGCTCAGCCTGTAATTCCGCGCCTTGGGAGGCTGAGGTGAGTGGCTTGCCTGAGCTCGCGGGTTTGAGACCCGCCCGGGCAACTTGGTGAGACCTTATCTCTACAATAAATAAAAAACCAGCCGGGCGTGGCAGCGCATGCCTGTCATTCCGGCTACTTGGAAGACTGAGGCAGAAGGATTGCCGGAGCTCAGCTGGTCGAGGCTGTGGTGGCCGGGAACGGCTACTGCACTCCAGTCTGGGCGACAGAGTGAGACTCCAACTCAAAAAAAAAGAAACTCACGGTAAGAAATTCCAGCATACAGTTTGTGAATTGATGATTCTCCAAACTGACTAAACAGATGTTATTTTCTTACGTCTGTTTTTCTGGGAGTTTGTGTTTAATTATAATCTTCTAGATTGAAATATGATAGCCTCTCCCACTCTCTCCTCTTTTTGCTGTAAATGAATTTTTTATTGAGTGTGCTTGGGTATGCCTACAAAATAACCTCCATGAGGAAAACAGCGGAAACTCAAGGTTGGAATTGGATCGGAGCAAAGAGCTGAAGAGGGAGACTGTGAGACCCTTCTGGGCCGAGCACGGTGGCTCAGCCTGTAAACCCAGCGCTTTGGGAGGCTGAGCCGAGCGGATTGCCTGAGGCTGCAGGTTCGAGACCCGCCCGGGCATCTTGGTGAGACCTCATCTCTACAATAAATCACAAAAACTAGCCAGATGTGGTGGCGTGTGTCTGTAGTTCCATCTACTTGGAAGGCTGAGGCAGGATAGCCTAAGTCCAGCAGGTCGAGACTGAGGTGGCCATGAGTGTGCCACTGCACCCCAGCCTGGGTGACAGAGTGAGACTCCCACTCAAAAAAAAAAAAAAAGACCCTTCAGGACTGCTTTACTGTTATATTAAATCATGTGCATGTATTCTTGCTATAACTGCATTTTTAAACCCTAGTTTTTTAATGACTCAATGTAATGTGGTATTCTGGATTGGACCCTAGAAAAGGAAAAGAGAAAGTTGGTTTAAAAAAATTTGGGGGCCGGGCTCAGTGGCTCGGTGTCTGTAGTTCCAGCTACTTGGAAGGCTGAGGCGGAAGGATCGCCGGAGCCCAGCAGGTTGAGGCTGCAGTGACCGGAAGCGGCCACTGCACTCCAGCCTGGGCGACAGAGTGAGACTCCAACGCAAAAAAAATAAAATAAAATAATGGCCAAAAGCTCCCAGCAAATCAAGAGTGAGCTAGCCTGGGTGTTGGAGAGGGAAAATCCAGACTCTCATCTCAGTGGTTGCTGTCTTCAGCTACCCCTGAATTTCAGTTTGCTATACTGACAAGAGGAAACTGACATACTTCTGTAGAAAAAAAGCACTTTACA